AGCCTACGGGCTGTACGCCAACTTTGTGCGGGGCGGCACGATTGAGGGCACGATGGATGCGGAGGTCGCGGAGACGAGTTCGACGAGTTCGACGAGTGCCACGAGTGCCACGAGTGCCACGAGCGCCAGCGAGGCGAACACCGCCGAGACGACGCCCGAGCGGGATGACACGACAAAGCCCGGCAAGACGACGACGGGGAAGCGGAAACGACGTGAAGACGACGACGACGAGACGAGAAAAGAAGAGAAAACGGAAAAGAAGCGGAGGAAACAAGGGTCTGACAGCAAGGAGGAGCGGCGGGCACAAAAAGACGAGGCGAAGCGGAGAAAGAAAGAAGAGAAGAGGGCGCAGAGGAGAATAGAAAAGGCAGCAGAAAAGGCGGCCAAAAAGGCGGCCAAAAAGACAGCCAAAAAGACGGTTAAGAGGGAAGCGAGAGCGGCCGAAAAGGCAAAAGAAAAGGAGGCCAAGATGGCTGCCAAAAAGGCCGCGAAGAAAGAGGCGAAGGCGCTGAGGAAGGCGGCCGAGAAGGCGCCAAAGGCACAGAAAGTGGCAAAGGCCAGCGCATAGGCATTGTGACAGTGGACTCTGGGGTGCCTCTGTCCTTTCTCCTCGCCCTGTCTTGTTTCGTACATGTTTTTCTTGGGTATCACAGCGAGCATGGCATAGGACCAACAAAAGCGGTCTGGAGTTTTATACAACGAATATTGGGTATTGTGTGTCTAGTACGGAAGCTTGACAAGGTGAAAATGCGAAAAAAAAACAGAAAGGTAGCACACCGACGGAGTTGGAGGCAGCCACAACACCGACCGTCTGTTAACCACCCTACAATTGCTTGGGCAGCGTGCCCGGCTGGCCTGTCAGCAGCCACGGCCGGCGGTCCCAGAACTCGTCCTTGATAATGTCCATGTGCTCGACCGTAATGCGCGCCTTGGCCCGCCGCTTCTTGTCGGTCTCCGCCTTGGACTTGGACAGTGTTGGCGGCTCGGCCTGGTTGTCGGCAGCCGCGGCGGTTTGCGCGGCATTGGTGTTCGCAGGGTCGACCAGCTCGTACTCTCTGTGTTAGCTCTATAGGTAGCAGCGGTATATGATTCATCGCCACTCGTCCGCTCTCCACTTACATCACGAAAGACGACGCTGCCCTTTTTGTACATCTCGGGCTCGTTGTTGTAGTTGATCTGAAATCGCGAGAAGAGGATCTCGTTCTTATCGGCCGCGAATGTGCCCTAGAAGGTCAGCAAAATGGGGATAGTCCAACAAACATTTCCATCTCTGTAGCCACCTACCTTGAGAAGCTCTGTTGCCTCGACGCTGTCCATGCCGCCTTTTTGGACCAAAGCCCAGAAGGTTGTGTTGTAGAGGTTGTTGATGTGACCTGGGAGGTAGAGTGTGGGGTAGAGTGTTAGTAAAAGGACGTGGGCGCAAGAATAAAATCCCCCCCCAATCTCTCCCAACTTACAGTCCACTTGCCGCCAGCTGAGGTAGTCCCGCAGGTTCTGCACGCTCGGGTAGCAGACGGCCCGACCGTCAAACGTCGGCAGCAGCGGTGCCACCAGCGGCACGTCGTCGACCAGCCCACCAGAGAACACGGTCGGCCACAGATGCAGGTAAAAGGCCGTAAACGTCGACACCACCGTCGACACCAGCTTGCTGGCGCGCCGCTCAAACAGCTGGCACGTCTTGTGGAACACGAAGCTGTACTCGTCGCTGACGCCGTATGCCAGCACAATGTCCGGCAGGTCCGCCATGACGGCCTTGGCGGCGGCATTCATCAGATCGAGCGCCCTCTTGTCGTTGGGCTTTGCGAAGCCGTACGTGTTGCAGAGCTTGGTGAACCCGCGGCCGTCGATGCGCACCACGATCCACGTGTTCGGCAGCAGCGTGTCGGGCTGCTCAAAGAGGCGAACGTACTCGTACCTGGGGAGAGGAGAGGGTCAGTCGTCTGAGTCTCTGTGTCTTTGTGGTTTTCGTCCTCTCGAGCCGCCTCTTCTCTGACGACCTACTTTGAATTGGCCATTTTCTGTCGCCGCGAGTGTCGTGTGTCCGTCCAAAGTTGTGCTGGATGTCCAGATCAATGAAGCCCCACGAACAGAGGTCCGAGAAAAGTGGCATGTAGAGGAGCGAGAAGCAGATTGTCGGTGTCACACGTCATTGAACAGACCAGGTCGGATGCGAGGAGGTGTGAAAGGAGGGGCGATGAGTGGCTGCCGGCGCTTCGGCCTTTGTTACAGCGCTAGGCGGCCCGGCCGCTTGGGGGGGACACACCCCTGCAGCGTCACTCGGGGCCGGCACTAACCACTAGAGACTGCGCGCCACTGCCGCCTCTGATTGGACGAACGTAGGTACGCTACAGGACGCAGCTGGCCCCTGTATCGCGCATTACTGAACTGTCCTGTCCCACCCCGCGACCGCTAAATCTGCGATTGGTTTTGGCTCTCTTTTTTTGTTTTTGTTTTTCGGACGACGACGACCTTCTCCCAGTTTGTTTGTCGCCGTCGGCCGCCCCCACGCCCTCCCACGATGAATTTCCTCCTCTCCGAGGACTACCTGCTGCAGGACTACCCCGAACACATCACCAACACCATCCGCTCCGGCCATGCCACCTGCCTGCGCTTCAACCGCAAAGGCGACTATCTCGCCTCCGGCCGTGTCGATGGCACCGTTGTCGTCTGGGACCTCGACACCATGGGTGTTGCGCGGAAGCTGCGGGGCCACTCACGCAGCATCTCGTCGCTGAGCTGGTCGCGCTGCGGCCGCTACCTGCTGTCGGCCTGCCAGGGCTGGAAGGCGGTTCTGTGGGATCTCCAAGACGGCCGCAAGCATCGCGAGGTGCGCTTCAAAGCGCCCGTCTATATTGCCGAACTGCATCCATGGAAAACGTGAGTGGAATGCATTTGGGAGGAGAGAGAGAACAGAGAGGGGAAGGGGGGAGAGGGGGGGAGAAAAAGAGTGGAACTGACACCGTTTCCTACCAGAACACACTTTGTCGCCTCCATCTACGAAGACCAGGCCCTCCTTGTCGACATCACCGACCCTGTTGACGTCAAGTACGTGCTCCCCTCGCGCCCGAAGCGCCCCGACACCGACGACACCGCCCAGCGCGACAAGTGGGCCAAGGAGGACGCCAAGCAGATGACCACCGTCACCATCTACGCCGCCTCGGGCGGCCACATCCTGAGTGCCACCAGCAAGGGCTGGATCAACATCATCGACGCCACAACACGCGACGTCATCTTCTCCAAAAAGGCCTGCGGCAGCGTCGTCACCACGCTGCGCCTCAACAGCTCCGGCAAGATCCTGCTGGCCAACTCCCAGGACCGCATCATCCGCTCCCTCCACATGCCCAACCTCGCCAGCCCGGACCTCGACCCCGACACCATCCAGCTGCCCGAGGAGCACAAGTTCCAGGACGTCGTCAACCGCCTGTCGTGGAACCACATCGCCCTCAGCCCCACCGCCGAGTACGTGTCGGCGTCCACGTACAACAACCACGAGCTCTACATCTGGGAGCGCAACCACGGCTCGCTCGTGCGCATGCTCGAGGGCCCCAAGGAGGAGCAGGGCGTCATCGAGTGGCACCCCCACCGCGCACTGCTGGCCGCCTGCGGGCTCGAGACGGGACGCATTAACATCTGGTCCGTCACCAGCCCGCAGAAGTGGTCCGCCCTCGCCCCGGACTTTGCCGAGGTCGAGGAGAACGAGATCTACGTCGAGCGCGAGGACGAGTTTGACGTGCACCCGCAAGAGGAAATCACCAAGCGCCGTCTCGACCTCGAGGACGAGGACGTGGACGTCCTGACGGTCGAGCAGCAGTCCGACGAGGACCTGCCGGCGGCCGCGGCCGAGTACCTGTCGGCAGCCGCGCTGCCAGGCGCACCCCCAGAGGACGCGACGTCGACGTCGACGTCGACGACGACTCCCACACCCGCCTCCACCAACGGCCTCACGACCCGCCCTGCCTTCCGCATGCCCATTCTCTACGACCTCGGCGAGTCCGACAGCGAAGAAGAGTTCATCGCCGTCTCCACCGGCACGATGCGCCGCCGCAGCCCCGGCGACAGCCAAAGCGTCGACCTCGAGGCGGACGGCGCGACGGCCGAGGACCGCATCTCCGCGAGCACAAAGAAGGCCGCCAAAGGCGGGCGGACAAGGAGGAGGTGAGGGGTGGTGCCGGTGCTTATTTATTACTGTCGTTTGTTTTTGTCTTATCTCACACCGGCATGGTTGCGAGGCGTTTGGCGCATCGGGTTTGGGGCATGCGCCGGGAAGGGACCATCTGGAATGATTCAACGTCTTTGCAAACAATTATTGTTTATTGGCTTTGTTCGGCTTGTTGAATGTACCTGTCCAACATTTCGGTTTGCGCTGTATGTCGAGGAACTCTGAAAGCGGAGCCTCCGTCTGTTGGTTCGTATAAACAAAGCAACTCGGGCTCGCGCAAGCTGTTTCCGGTCGCGATGGCGTGCGCGAACTGTGGAAAAGCATCGACAAAGGCGCGTTGAAAATGCCCCATTAGTGTCGTTTTGGCCTGAATAGGGGGCAACACCTGACATCCAATCGCGCCTCCCACTTTAGGTGGCAACCACCGCCCCTTATTGCGCTCCTGCCGCTTGACTCACTGTGCACGGTACGAATAGGCAACCGCCCTGCTTTGGGTGGCGTGTGGGTCTCTTCTGGGGGCAGCTGCGAAGAGCTTATTTTCCAGGACCGAGGTACTTGCTGGGTACTTGCATTCAGCGCAAATAGAGGGCAAGGCCAGGGCAGGGAGCCGCAGCCCACAAGGCACCACAATAGGCAGAGGACTTGAGAACCAATCAGTCCATGTACCTTTAAAGTATCATCTACCTCACGTGATCTCCTTTCGCAGACTCCAAAAAGGAGAAAGGCTAAGCCTCATTCGGCTAGGCGACTTTTTGGAACACGCTCAACGCCTCCCAGGAGGAAGGAAGGGAGCGAAGTTTTTCCCTGCCCTCTCGCCGTGCGTGGCGCTTCTTTTTTGGCCTCACTTTCTCCTTCTCGCAACATCCTCGTTATCCGCATCGCCATCCCTCCCCTCCACCACCACCGTCGCCCGCGCGTCTTCGCCATCGAAAACCGCGTCGTTCATCTCTCCGCGATCGATTTCTCTATTTTTTTACCGTTGTTTCAGCCTGCCACGACCAGCGCTGACGGCTTTTTGTCTCGCTATTCGTCTTTGAGCGACAGAGCAAAAAGCATCAAAACACCACGAAACCATCTCTTCGACAAGTCATCGCCGCCTCGCACGGTTTTATCGACACATTGGCGCCGATTTCAGCTCCTCGTCGCCGTTGAGGCACGCTCGCTCCCTGTTGGGGCCCCGGGGGGTTGTCTGTGAAGTCGTTCGGGCTTGAGGACGTTGTTTTGTGTGAGGTGTTTTGACGGTACGCGCACTCGGCTGCCATCGTTCATCCAGGATCAACACCATCGACGCGTGCATCGTGATCGAGGACCCAGCTCGTCTCTGGCCTTCTCGCGTATCGCGCTCGCATCGCAACGGTTGTCCGTTTGTATCCTTGCCGTTCTTTTTTGTTGTTTCCTTGACGACCGTGTTTTTCGCGTTCGCGCGCATCACGACATTACGAATCCAGGGTTGATTTCTTTCTCTCTCTGGTCCTTGTGTTCCCTTTTTTCCGACCTCTCTTCTGTCCTTTTCGTCCTCGTCTACTTCACCGGTCTTTCTCGGCTTCTTCACGCTTCACTTTGACGTCGATCTCCGTTCTTCCTGCTCGTTTTCTTCCAACGCGTCTCGACATACACTCTCCTTTTGTGATCTCTCGCGCCATTTCGTCATCGCTGCGCGCATCCGTCTCGACGACAAGCCCCGTCCACTCCTCCCCGTTCTGCGACCGCATCGATCGACGCGCGTTGCGCCCCGACCACCGCAACCATGGCCAACCTTTACTTTGCGCACTCGAGTGCGCCCCTCAAGACCATTGAGGAGATTCAGTTTGGCATGATGTCTCCCGAAGAGATCAAGAATATGAGTGTCGCGCACATCATCTATCCGGAGGCTATGGACGAAACCAAGACCAAGCCGCGTGATGGCGGTGTCAACGATCCCCTGCTCGGTTCCGTCGACCGCGGTTTCAAGTGCAAGACGTGTACCGAGAACATGTCCGAGTGTCCCGGCCACTTTGGCCACATCGAGTTGGCCAAGCCCGTCTACCACCCGGGCTTCATCAAGAAGACCAAGAAGGTCCTCGAGATCGTCTGCCACAACTGCAGCATGGTTCTCGCCGATCGGGTTAGTACTTGAGAGCAAATTTCCCTGGAACGTGTTTCTGATATGGTTTCATTTTGCAAGCCTGCCTTGCCACGTCCCGGGTTTGTTTTTGGGTTTCTTTCTTTCTGGGTGAAATTTGTGCTAATCTGAAACTTCTTTTCTTCGCCTGTCCCTCCCCTTACTACAGACGGATCCTGAGTTTTTGGCTGCTGTGAACACACGCGACCCCAAGGCTCGGTTCCAGCGCGTTTGGGAGTGCTGCAAGAAGAAGAAGCGTTGCGAGAACGAGGCCAAGTCGGAGAACGACGACGAATTTGACCCCAACCCAGGCAGCAAGCTGGGCAAGCAGGCGCCGCACAACCATGGCGGCTGCGGCAACACCCAGCCCGCTGTGCGCCAGACCGGCCTGCAGCTGTGGTCTCACTATGAGGTGGAACGCGACGAGGGCGGCAAGGTCAAGGAGAAGAAGATGCTGACGGCCGAGATGGCCCTCAATATCATGCGCCGCATCAGCACGTCCGACATCCGTGACATGGGTCTCAATGTCGACTACGCCCGTCCCGAGTGGATGGTGGTCACGGTCCTGCCCGTGCCACCCCCGCCGGTGCGTCCGAGTATCTCCATGGACGGCACCGGTACCGGCATGCGAAACGAAGATGACTTGACTTTCAAGCTGGGTGATATTATTCGTGCCAACGCCAACGTCAAGCAGGCCATCAACGAGGGCTCGCCCGCGCACATCTCGTCCGATTTCGAACAGCTGCTGCAGTACCACGTCGCCACCTACATGGACAACGACATCGCTGCCATTCCGCGCGCCCTGCAAAAGAGTGGCCGTCCCGTCAAGGCCATCCGCGCCCGTCTCAAGGGCAAGGAGGGTCGCCTCCGTGGCAACTTGATGGGTAAGCGTGTCGATTTCTCGGCACGTACTGTCATCACGGGCGACGCCAACATCTCGCTCGACGAGGTCGGTGTGCCGCGCAGCATTGCGCGCACACTCACGTACCCGGAGACTGTTACACCTTACAACATCAGCCGCCTGCACCAGCTGGTGCAGAATGGTCCCAACGAGCACCCCGGTGCCAAGTACGTGATCCGCTCCGACGGCACGCGCATTGATCTGCGCCATCACCGTCGTGCGGGCCAGATCTCGCTCGAGTACGGCTGGAAGGTGGAGCGGCATCTGATTGACGGCGACTACATCATCTTCAACCGTCAGCCTTCGCTGCACAAGGAGTCCATGATGGGTCATCGTGTCCGTGTTATGCCGTACTCCACCTTCCGTCTGAACCTGTCGGTGACGTCTCCGTACAACGCCGATTTCGACGGTGATGAGATGAACTTGCACGTGCCGCAGACGGAGGAGACCCGTGCCGAAGTCAAGGAGCTCTGCATGGTGCCGCTCAACATTGTCTCGCCCCAGCGCAACGGCCCGCTGATGGGCATTGTGCAAGATACGCTGGCAGGCGCCTATAAGCTCTGTCGCCGTGACGTGTTCCTCACCAAGGAGCAGGTCATGGACATCATGCTCTGGGTGCCCGAGTGGGATGGTGTGATCCCCAGCCCGGCCATTATCAAGCCGCGCCCGCGGTGGACCGGCAAGCAGATTATCAGTCTTGTCATCCCCAAGACGGTCAGCCTCAAGGCCGGCAACGACGACATGGCTCTCAAGGACGATGGTATTCTGATCCAGACCGGTGAGCTTATGTACGGTCTGATGACGAAGAAGATTGTCGGCGCCACTGGTGGCGGTATTGTCCATATTTGCTACAACGAGTTGGGCCCCGAGGCTGCCATGGCGTTCCTGAATGGCTGCCAGCGCGTCGTCAACTACTGGCTGCTGCACAACGGCCACAGCATTGGTATCGGCGACACCATTCCCGACAAGAAGACCATCGAGATGGTCCAGGCGCAAATCGATGAGCAGAAGGAAGAGGTGCGTCAGCTCACGGCCCAGGCGACTGCCAACGAGCTGGAGGCTCTGCCCGGTATGAACATCCGTGAGACGTTTGAGAACAAGGTCTCCAAGGCCCTCAACACGGCCCGTGACAAGGCCGGTACGACGACGCAGGAGAGTTTGAAGGACTTGAACAACGCTGTCACCATGGCCCGTTCCGGCTCCAAGGGTTCCTCCATCAACATTTCGCAGATGACGGCTCTGGTCGGCCAGCAGATTGTCGAGGGCCGCCGCATTCCCTTCGGCTTCAAGTACCGCACCCTGCCCCATTTCACCAAGGACGACTACTCGCCCGAGGCCCGTGGCTTCGTCGAGAACTCGTACCTCCGTGGTCTGACGCCGTCCGAGTTCTTCTTCCACGCCATGGCGGGCCGTGAGGGTCTCATTGACACGGCGGTCAAGACCGCCGAAACGGGTTACATCCAGCGTCGTCTGGTCAAGGCCCTGGAAGACGTCAGCGCCAAGTACGACGGTACTGTGCGCAACTCCCTAGGTGACATCATCCAGTTCGTCTACGGCGAGGATGGTCTCGACGGTGCGAAGATCGAGGAGCAGCGCGTGGACTTTTTGAACATGTCGCTGCCTGCCTACGAGAAGCGCTTCCGCCTGGATGTCATGAGCCCAACGCGCTCGTCGGCGCTCGATGCGCTTGAGTATGCCAACGAGATTGCGGGCGACCCCGAGGCGCAAGAGCTGCTCGACGCCGAGTACGAGGCGCTGGTCGCGGACCGCGAGCTTATCCGGTCTGTCAGCAGGAGGCGTCTGACGAACATCCTGGGCAAGAAGGACGAGGAGATGATGCAGCTGCCTCTCAACATTGTGCGCATCATCAACTCGGCGCAGAAACTGTTTAAGCTGGACGATGCCCAGCGCAGTGATCTGCGTCCGCAGGACGTCATCCCGGCCGTCAAGAAGGCGTTGGACAACATGGTGGTGGTCCGCGGCAGCGACCCCATCTCGCTCGAGGCCGACAAGAACTCGACCATCCTGATCAAGGCGCAGCTGCGCTCGCGTTTGTCTTTTAAGCGTCTCGCTGTCGACATGCGCCTCACGCGTCTGGCCTTTGACCACATCATGGGCGAGCTCAGCAGCCGCTGGGCGCGCGCCATGGTGAACCCCGGTGAGATGGTCGGTGTGCTGGCTGCACAGTCCATTGGTGAGCCCGCAACCCAGATGACGCTCAACACCTTCCATTTTGCCGGTGTGTCGTCCAAGAACGTCACTCTCGGTGTGCCGCGTCTCAAGGAAATTCTCAACGTGGCCAGCAACATCAAGACCCCGTCCATGCTGGTCTACCTGGACGACGAGGACGGCCGCCACCCGACGCAGGACCGCGCCAAGGAACTCCGCAGCATTGTGGAGCACACCAACCTGCGGTCGGTGACGGCCGTGACGGAGATCTACTACGACCCCGACGTGCGGTGGACGAACATTGTTGAGGACGAGAACATGCTGGAATCGTACTTTCTCATTCCCGAGGATGTTGCGACCAACCTGGACCAGCAGTCGCGGTGGATGCTGCGTATTACGCTTGATCGTCAGAAGATGCTCGACAAGGGCCTGTCCATCGAGGACGTGGCCAACCGCATCAAGGAGGAGTACCCTAGCGACCTGGGCGTCGTGTTCAGCGATAACAACGCCGACGACCAGGTGATTCGCATCCGCACGGTGCGCCAGTCGGACGAGAAGGACGAGGAAGGCCAGCTGGAGGACGACGTCATGCTCAAGCGCCTGGAGACGCACCTGCTCGACACCCTGACCTTGCGTGGTGTACCCGGCATCGAACGTGCGTTCCTGAACAAGGACACGATGCTGGTTACCACCGAGGACGGTGCTCTGCTGGCCGCCAAGGACGACCCGCGCTGTACGGCGTGGTACCTGGACACGGAGGGTTCGGCCCTGCGTGCTGTGCTGGCCGTGGACGGCGTCGACCCCAAGCGCACGTATACCAACGACCTGCACCAGGTTGTGGACGTCTTTGGCATCGAGGCGGCGCGGTCGACGCTGCTGCGCGAGCTGACGGCCGTGCTGTCCTTTGACGGTTCGTACGTCAACCACCGCCATCTGGCGCTGCTCGTCGACGTCATGACCTACCGCGGTAGCATCGCGGCGGTCACGCGCCACGGCATCAACCGCGCCGACACGGGTGCGCTCATGCGCTGTTCGTTTGAAGAGACGGTCGAGATCCTGCTCGAGGCTGCGGCCGTCGGCGAGCTCGACGACTGTCGCGGCATCTCGGAGAACGTCATGCTGGGCCAGCTGGCGCCGATGGGCACGGGCCACTTTGAGGTGCTCCTGGACCCCAAGATGCTCGAGACCGTCATCTCGGACAACTCGCGCATGGGTCTGATGCCCGGCCTGACGGTCAAGGGCAGCCAGCTCGAGGGTG